CAAAGATCTACTCTATCTGTAGTTGTCTGTCAGTTATTAGCAAAGTCTGTCACAACTAGATAATCAAAAATAAAAATAACATCTCCTGTTGGAGATGTATACTGGATGGTAGATTGATAGTTGATTGCCACTGTGAACAGTTACCGGAATCCCCCCTCCCCCTGTATCCTTCTTGATTGGTCACTTTGTGTCAACGTTCCTGAGCATCTGGTTGAGCAGCGTGTCTGAAGGTGTGCAATCCGGCCCACCCCTGTGCCCCAAGTCATTGCCGAACAAGCCAGCCAGTCCACTCTTATTTACCCTCGTACGGAACGAGCCTTACACCCGGTTGATCTGGCTGATCAGGAGGAATTTTAGGAGAGCCCCCATCTCCTCAGGAATTATTTAACGTCGCAGTCAGGACGACGATCACAGCCAGATTCAATCCGAGACCCCAACCAGAAATGTTTATAGACGGTCTGGTAAGCGTCTCATAAAAGGCTGGCATGCCCGACACGACCTCTATTGCGCAAGCAGCAGAACAAAGGACTTGCAGCCCAAGCATGCGTGTACTAGTCCCAGCGGGTTGGCATGGTGACCGTGACCCGAGTGCTCCGTCCAGGGCCCTTCAGAGGCTTCGCCCGTCTCCCACCAGCTTGCTGCCCGGGAAGAATGTCGACTCTCCAGGTTGAGCGCTCGCGACACCTCACATCGAGAGGACTCTCAAGACAGAACTCACTTCCTCACGGTAAGAAGAGATGAAGAGGGTAGATAAGGAAGAGAGCAACGTACCTCATTAATGCTGCCCCCAACCACAGATTTCTCACCGGTAACCTGATGTGCAATTATGATGACCGGTCTTTGCCTCAGCACAACCAACAGCAGAATGCGGTTCCACTTCGGCTTAATATGCCACATCAGCGAGTTCTCATCATCCAGCATACACCTCGAATGTCACCACATAGCTCCCTGGCGCGCCCACACTACCCTGGGCCGCCCAACGTTCAACGCCAATGCCTTATCACTGCCCCACACCTCATGCGAAGCACCAATAGCTATTGCGAAGAACCAATGAAGCGCAATATGAACCAGTTCCGATACCGAATTGCAAGGAAAATAAGCAACAGCGAGATGACAATTCCAGTTCAGACCATCACATTGAAAGCCAGATAGTCACACTGTGTCCAGAGAGCAGCATGGCACCAATAATACACCAATGGAAGTTCATAGCA